TTGATTCATTTTTTTATATTTATTATTTATGCTGTTTTTTACGTTTTTATAAAAAGATAAATTCAAACCTGTAAGTGTCCATCCCCGTTGGCTTAAATGCTTTCCACTAACACAGTGAGACGCTGAATTGAACAAACAAAGAATCATTGAATGAGGCATATCCAATGAATATAATTATTTGTAAATACCTGTTAAAACGTAGTCTCTATCGATAAGGGCACCCAGGCAATAAAATGCACTACCATAGGCTATGTTTTTAAAACAAATATTAAATTATTTTGCGCAAAAAAAAAAAATAATTTATTACTTTCATTATATTCGATCAAAGCCAGCCAAGGATACTCGTTAATTTTCGTTTTATCTCCACCTAGAACTAATACAAAATTCTATTAAATTTTTTTGCTGAGCATGATTTACGTAACAAAAAAGTCATTTCAAATAAACTATGCCATTTTTTAGATTTAAACAAATTTTACATTTCATTTTATAAAAACTTACTTGCTTCCCCCGTGCCAATAAAGCACACAACAAGCAAAAAAATGAGAACAAACCACTTCATGATTGTTTAAAACTTTATTTTATTGAGTTCTCAATGCAATCTCAAGTTAACTGTGTTTATAAATGTCCGGTTGACTTATATATATTGGCCAGAAAGACGCGTTTGGAAATCCCAGCATGATAAGTTTGTTTTGCAAAAAAAAAATGATAGGATGATATGGTTATATGTGAATTGTATTTTTGTATATGTATAAACACATAATGTCACATAAAAACATCAATCGCGGTAAAGGTTCTTTTTATTTGATGATAATAATTTGAATCACGCTTGAACACTAGAGTGTTTCGATTTTGACATTTTACCGAGAATCAAAAATCGTACCCATATAAACTTTGTAGGAAAGTCATAGAAAAACGAATATGATAAAGGTTTTTAAAAAACACCGCTCGATTAAAAAAAATTGGAATTTTTATGAATTTTGCATTTCGGGGTTTTTTGGCACGCGAAAAGCCGAACGTGACGTTAATTTTTCAATATAAATAATTTCCGATGCACTTTTCATAAAAAATTGAAACTTGGTCAGTTTTTTTCAAAAAGCCCTATTTTGGAGACTAGTTGGCCGATTTTCAAACTTCAATATTTTTTCTTAATCTATGATAGGGCTTTCCAACTGAAACATCAATCGCGACAAAAGGCATTCTAGATTAAGAGGTTAACATTTCGTTCTAGTGTAGTGTGTGTATCGTCTCTCGCAAATTGCGGTCTGCTGTGATCTGAAGTTGTACACAACCCTGCCGTTCATAGTCTCTATATAGGCGTTTAAAGAAATACAAAACTTATTTTTAGATTAACGAAAGTCACATGTTTAATTTTTTCATGTTTTTTACGTTGAATTAAAATGTCATACTTTAGTGTTACAGGAAACTCGAAGACCTTTATAACCCAATGGGTTAAACTCATTGTTGAAGTGTCACAAATGCTCTTCACAGCATTCATTGTTAATTTAAATTTAGAAAAAAGTTCATGCCATACTGACGTCAATCTAGCAAATAAAACGAATTCAAAATGTATTCCAATGTATAATTATGTTATCTCTTCACATAAAACCCATTACACCGTACGGGATTTCCATTTAGCTCTTATATAAATTGTTCAATTAGACGAAATTTATGTACATATATGCGCAAAACAACACGACCAACGGAGTAGAGACACTCACATGCGATTCATTGACTTGATTCAATGCGAATCTCATTCACTTCACAATGCCATGAAAATGAAAATAAATAAATGTAATTCCCGTTCGGGGCTGCTCTTAACTAGATATATGCATAGAAGCATTGAAAAATCTCCAAAAACTATTGTACACCAAATGAATGCGAAAACTTTTATGAATTGCTTGTCGTATAAGTCACTGGTAGTAAACGATGTTTAATCTAGAGGATTTGAAGAGTTCTTGGAATAGAATGTGTCACATTCACATACATGCGCGCACAATATTCATGGATAAAACTTTGTATTTTCTTCCACGGAAAGTAATTGTGCATCAAAAATGTTTACCTCAAAACCAAACTTTACGAGTGAGAGATAAGAGCGACGCATGTGTTCAAGTTGAACAAAAGCCACAATTCAATTATTAGTGAATTGAATTTGATAGTGTGTGTGCAATAGATTTCATCAACATTGAATTCAATTTAAATTCAACAAATTAATTTTTATGCGAATACGTAAAAACAATTCGTGTGCTGACGAGTCGACGACAGGCGAACAATTGTGACAAACGGTACATTGAAACGAATTAAAATTGAAGCTACTCTTGACGAAAGATGATAAAGCCAGAACGAATTTTCATTGAAATATCATGCGAAACAAAGTCAGATTAAAACGTTTGAGATTAGAGGCTTCGAAACTATTCAAAGCAATGACAGGATGTGAAGACTTCAAGTCTCATTGAGCCGACGGTGGCGCCACCAATTTCAAAGGGGACGTCAATGTAATTTAACAACTCAAATCGAAACTAAACAGCGCGCCAATTTTGAAATTTGCTGTAATTTCCTCCCATTGATTCAAAGTCAGTCAATCATAAAGTCAATCAGTTCAAAGCCTACTGCTTCCGTGTGATTATTGTTTTAAAAATATTCAATATCAACTTTTACTGATAACTTAAAAAAAATGCTTCGTGAACGCTAACAAACGCTGAAAAATTAAAATCCATAGTTCATTCACCTTATGTCGGCCAATTTTAAATGAATTTGTTTGAAGTGGGAATAAAATCGGTGAGAAAAGCTCATTTTATCAGTTCATTTTTAATTGTTTTATAAACGACAAACGTTTCACTTCATTACATAAAAGATATTCAGTAAAATTATCTCCAAAAGAGTGGGTAGATGACTTTGTGGCATTTCTCTCACTCCAATTCCAAAAGCAAATGCAAACGGTGAAGAAAAAAATGTGCGATGAAAAAAAGCGTCATTCATAAACAATGTGTAAGCTCTCGTCGCGTACAAAGCAAATATTTCCAGTTCCCTGTGCTATACACCATCATACGCAAACACGAGCTGCGTCTGTGATACAAGCGGCACAAATCCAAATACGAGAAAAAAAACGAGAGGAAGCAAAAAAAGGAGGCGAATAAAAAAACGCTCTAAATTATTCAAATGCTAATTAAAAAAATCGCGATTTGCTATGCGAGAGCATCATTTACAGTCGCGACATAATGGTTATCCTAGGTTATGGTCACGCATTCATTACACTCTTTCAGCCTTCTCATGCGGGTGTTTTTTTTTCTTCATTTTTTCCTCTTCGTCATTATTATTATTATTATTCAGCGTCATGATAATGATGATGATTATTATTGTTGTTGTTATTTAACGAAATTTTTCTACGCCACGCTTTTACTTTTTTTCCTAGTCGTAGTTCTCTTTTGGTTTGTGCGTTTGAAGGATACGCGGTTTTCTATCCGTACTCTTCATTAATTTACTCTTTATATCCAGCACGCGAGCATTGGTGCTGTTGCTTTCGCTACATCTCTCATCTGTAAATCTGTATAGGAGGGTGAGATTTCAAAATTGTCTTAGTTGAAAGAAAAAATGCTTACGTTACGTATAATTTTTATGTCGCAATTTTTCCATTCACTCGCCACACCGATAAGTTTCATTCGGTCTTCTTCTTTTATTCATCAGAATATTTTTTTCTCTCCACCCGCGCATTCATGAGAGAAGTTAATGGGGTTGATGAGTGCCTTATTAAGAGTGGTAATGATGATATAGCATAACAATGTTTCTCTTTCGTATTTTTATTGTACGGCCGACAATTTTCCATCTATTTCTCAGCCGCATCAACCGAACTGCAAATGAAAATGAGAGCGAATTTGTTTTAAGTGTTGTGAAGTAAATTTATTGGCTTTGACTTTGGCTTTATGCCAAAATAAAATGAATGGAACGGGATAGGGACATTTTTTTTAAATAATGCGACGTGGAAAAAAGTACTAATCCATTACAGTGTAGAGAAAAAAAAGGGGTTTTGATTTGTTTCAACGACGTGATCTTGGAACTCCATCTTAAATGAAAATGTTAGAATGGGACAATCGTGACGTGATTATCGGTTTTAAATGATCCAATACCATGTTTTCTTCTTGCGACCCCATCAAGATTTATTCGGGCAAAGGCACGAATCGCAATTTAATTAGCAAATTGAAATACTTTTTATAGCAAAATAAAATCTTTATCTGATGAACAAAAATGCCAAAGTTACGGTGCAAACAATTTTTACTGGTCAGAAAGTTTCGTGCACTTTTATAATGCCAATAAACTCGAGTAATAGTTACTTTCGAATCCAACCACTTTTACATGTTTCATTTAATTAACTTTTCATTTTACAACATCAAAAATAAACGTTTTGAGCTTTGCATTGAGATTTTTTCGCTTTTATTATTTGAATATTACGCTGTTAAAAAATTGAACATTCAAAGTTTTTTCGTCGCTGATTCAATTTTTTCCATT